TCCTGCGACGGTGCGCGTCCGGTATTCCTCTTCTTCCCATGTGGCTCTGTTACGTTCGGCTTCGGCGGGGGTGGGTGATGCTTGTCCGTGTCGCGTATAGTCTGTGTGCTGCTTGCGACGGGGGAGAAGATCGGCGAGGGCGCGTCCAACTTGGTAAGTGGCAAGTTGGCAGACTGCGAGCTCAGCTCCTCAGATGAGGAGATGCATAGTGGCACATGCAGCTCGTTGCGCGTTCTCCTTGACTCGTGCTGGTCCGGCCGCCCGGTGTACGAACGTATTGGCCTCTTGGTGAGTCTGGAAGGCGTCGGCGAAGGTTCGGTAGGTTTCAATGCAGTAGGTGGACCCCGGGATGTGTTCGGTCCGGATTCGTACTTGGTCGTGAAGATCAGGGTGCGCGATCACCCATCCGATTCGGAGGCCGAACGGGGCTGGGGCGTCATTGCGGAGGAACGTGACGGGGAGATGTTGGTATGAGATGAGGGGTCTATCGGTGATAAACCGCGGAACGGTACGTCCAGTGGTTGAGCCGGAGGAGGGGGTAGTGGAGGTCGCCCGTGAGCGAGTAGAGCATGGGTTGGAGTTGGGGTTACGAGTGCGAGGCATGATTGCGGTGGTGCGAGTTTGTGCGAGCGAGTCAGGTGTGGTGAGTGGGGGATGGGGGTTGGTTCATAGTCAATGCTTCTTCTTATATGTATGGAGAATGTCTGGTGCATTAGTCAGGTGGTGTTCTGGTTCCTATGAGTTTTCTGCTGGTTCCCAGCCCTTCCATGCGACAAGATAATAGAGCTTCGGCTTCGATCTGCTTCCCCGCAGTTGGTGCTTGAGGATGGCTTCCACCTCGTGTTCTTCTTGACCTTCTATGAGGTCAGGTGGTGGTCTGGGCAGGTCTGGGCCGTGTTCTTTTGTCGTTCGATACGGCGTGAGCAGCGTGGCATGGAACACCTGCCTCAGCACCTGCACAATCACCTGATTCCTCAGAAAGTCTGTTGTCCCCTCACACAATCTGTTTGCTAGCTAATCAAGACCCTGTCTCAATTTCTAGCACTGAATAAATGCAAATGATCAGTCTACCTCAGAGTGAACAATGCAGATACTCAGCTGCCAAGGCTTACAAAATACCCTCTTGGTAAAAGCACAGGCCCTGGGATCTTCCCAAATACAAGCAAGCTGTGGCATATTCAAGTAGAAGATGATTGAGTAAGAGAAGATGCCTCTCAGCTCAGTTTTCTGGCCAGTATTTATGCTGTTTCAGAAAGGGCTGTGCTGGAGGATGACTAAGTACAAATAATGTTCTAGTAAGACTGGGGTTATGCACAAACAGCTATCTCATGTAATAGACACCCAACATGGTATGCATGCTTAGGTGTGAGTTCGCAGAGAATTGAAGGCGCTACTCATTGCAAATCTATCAGAGAATGTTGTGTCCATAGAACACCTGGAAGTTTTTCTAGAAGTTATGGATATATGATATCCGCATGATTCTCAGAAAGCACATTTTTCGATTTGGGAGGAGGCGAGTCTCTGATACACTCAGAGTGAGCTGGCAGCAAGCATAAGTGCCATATAACACACCCTTTGAACTCCTATCATAGCCCCATCTACGAAAAGACCTCAGATTTCTAGACAGAACCTGGGAGAACACCTTAAGAAGAGAAAAACAAGCGCTAAACGGGACTTTCATCTGCAGTGTGCATAAAGCTGATGTTAGAATCACCCCCCCGCCCCCCCCATTCCTGCACCGCCTGTTATATTGCAGTTAGCTTTGCATGTATCGAAACCAGCATTGAACAAGCAGGTGCACGAGACAGAGGACTGTGCGTGACACCTTCTCACAGAGACCTTCCAGTCTAACACATCACCCGAAGAACCTGACATGTTGTTAGGATCGCATGGGCTGGTAGCCTCAACACGCATTCCTCTCATTCACTCTTCCCCCAAATCCCAACTGAAGCGACCACCAACCTGCGTTGATGCACTTGCGGCCCTGTCAGGTTTTGGGCATGGAACGTCAAGGGTGTTCAAATGTGATAATCATGTTAATTCTGCTCTGTTATCCTCCCTCAGAGCGCTCAGGCGAGTATTTAACCCAAATGACAAATCCACAGACACCTTCCACAGCTGATTGCTGTTTGTGCATGACCCCAGTCTTACATTCTACCAGTGTATACAGTGCCTATGGAACTCTCTGGATTGTTTCTTTGGTGAGTCATTCTGAATCAGAGGATGACTCATCTATTCTCTAGATATTGCCAGAACTCTCCAGAATATTCTACACTGCCCCAGGATTTTCTAGCCATGTTTCTTAGTCAACCCGACTAGTCATGTGTTTATCCTAGAGTGTTCCCAGAACTTTCTAGATTGTTCTAGAGGAAGAGGAATACAGAATGCCCTAGAGAAAAGTATATCTGGTCCCATTTCTTACCATATCACTCTGTTCATACCAGAACTTCTATTCCTCACTTGGTAGGAGTGGGCCATTACTGGCAGAAAACGATTAATGAGATATGGGATATAATGAGAAGATATGAGAGACCTTAATAAGCTATATTAAACCTTATCACCAAGAACAGAATATATAGCAGTTGTGAAAACATTGTGGAAGCTGGTACTGAATTGCTTACTATGCATATAAAAGCCAATACAATTACAACACCCTGTGTTATAGCTGCCCTTCTGGATATAGTCAAGATTTTATGTGCTGTATTTGATTTTATAGAGGCAGAATACACACTATCATTCTACAGTGCTAGACCACCTAAAGGGGAAACAACAGAAGACAAAGAAGTGGCAGTTATATAGGCCTTCTACATAGCTTTCTAATGCATATACAATCACCCCAAACAGACAACAACTGAGGTCACATGAGCTCTCTAAAGTTAGTAGGCACCAGTGATTATATCTACACTGTCTCTCATCTAATGTGTTTAAAGCCAAGCTGTAAGCATATTAGTAACACACTCTATAGTAGCTGCTTTCATGAATATAATCAGGAATTTAGGCAATTGATTGGATTTTACAAAGCCTGAATACCTCTTGTTACAACCAGGCCTAAATAGCACAGCCACATGCAGAAAAAAAGGCGGCACTGGCAGGGATTGAACCCAAGGCTGTGAGGTCCACCACCCAGCAGCAGCTCTAGCTGAGTTGAGCTGAGTTTGAAAAAGCGTTCAAAATAGGCACCTAGCTGCACTTTCAGCCACTGTGGCAGCTGTGGCAGAGGCAGGAGGGGGCAAACAGTGCCAAACAGTGTCCATATATGGTGAAGAGGCATGAGAAGGGCTGCTGACAAAGATTGGGCAGCACAGCCCCACTAAAAGAGGGTAGATTGTAGCCAGGGCTTGTGGATGACAATTTTAGGTGGCTGGGTGTGGCTTGCAGTAGCTGGTAGTGGATGGGCTAGATGGCCAGTCCCAGGCTCTAAACATGCTGTTATGGGCTCAAAGCATACAAAATGATAAAACAAAGTACATAGATCATGTGGGCAGTGCTACTAGTGTCTACCTACCAAAAATGAAGCAGATCCAACCATGGGAAGGGGATGGATGGCATGCAGGCCTTATGAATGTAGCAGTGCCATGGGCGCCTCTGAAATAGATGCTGTGAGCGCTGTGCCAACCCACACTATCAGTATGTGCAAAGGGGCCAAAAATGCGAAGTGGGGGATGAATAGGGGGTCTACAGAAAGAGCACGCCCCTGGGAACAATCTGGCAGTGTTCTGGAGGTAATGGGGCATGGAACAAGGTACAGCAACATCAAAGTACCATGGGAATGAGCAGATCAACAAAGGCACACTTACCAGAGAGTTGAAGAAAATGCTGAATCCATCTCACACAGAACTCGGTCTGTGCTCCAACAACCCAGCCATCCAAAATGGCAATGTTGCAGGCATCTCAGGCTCAAAACCACTGCTCTAAATTGGTGCACCAAGTAGGCATGGTGCAGGAGCACAGGGACTGTGGGGGGGCATCCTTCCACTCATAAGCACTGACTTTGGCCAAAAGCCAGGCTACAGAGGTGAAGGGTGGATGAGTCGGTGCCTGCCACAAGCGTCGGTTCACCGACGGGCTGGTCCAACTGGGCAGCCCTTTTGGGTGGTGTCCCAAAAAGGACCGTGGGTGCGTTGGACTTAGCGAAATTTCGCATTCAACACTGGGAGAATACGCGGCCTGTGCCCTCCGTCCCGTCCCATCAGCGGGCTCGTTGTGGTCTAAAACTATGTAGTACATGTAAGGGGATATGCGGGACTCTAATGCAACTAGTAGTGAGTGAAATGAGGGTCGTCAGGCACAAAATCTGAAGACGGAAGTTGATGAGGCTGCGACGAGCGTGCTTATAGCTGGTGCAGTTGGATTGCAAGCGCCTCGTTTCCGGCCTTGCGTGCCGGAGGACCGTTGGGGTCATAGCGTATGAGCCTGAACGTGGCTTCAGGTGCTTGTGACGGCCAAATTGACGACTGATGGGGCGCCAATGGTGTCGAAGGTGGACCCATGTCCGTCCGCTGTGAGGACAGCTCAGTGCGTCGCTGAGATCTCACGGGGGGTTGGCACGAGGGCATCGCTGCAGGCCCCATCTGGTTGAAGAACGGGGTGCGCTGTGAAGGCCCATACAGCGACTTGGGTGGCTGTGGCCCCAGCAGCAAGAGGCTTGAGATCGTGAGTCCGCAAGGGTTCATCGGCGTGCTGAGATCACGATGTGAGACCGTCGGTGTTGCGCTCTGGAAGCGAGCCGGCGTGGTAGGTGGATAGTACAAGGGCGTGGTAGTCGAATGCCTAGGTGTGGTAGGTGGCAGGTATGAGCCAAGAGTGGTAGGTGGGTACGAGAGAGTGCCGGGCAGGTATGAGGGTGCGCTGGGCGCGTATGGTGGGTGGTACAAGGGCGTGCTAGGCAGCCTTTGCGGATGCTGGAGTGGACGTGGTGATGGTGGTGGAGGCAGATGGGATGGTAAAATCAATCGGGAGGGTGGTCGTGACAGCACTGGGGCATGTTAGAGTAGCGCACCATGCAAGCCCTGGAGATATGGCGCAAGAAGGGAGCAGCCGAGGCTGCTGCGAAGAAAGTCTCGGTGGAAGAGACGCTATCTTCGCGTGTCACAGCCGAGGACGCGTCGGACGAAGACCTGCCGGATGAGAAGACACATTGTCAGCGATGTAAGGACACGGTGTGATTGTTCATACCACATAATCCATGCCCCAAGGCTCGAGCTCATCTGACTTGCAGCGCATTGGAACCGCACTATGTGACCTGCTAGGCGAACGTAGTCAGAACAACAGCCTGATTGAGCACATCATCGGGCTGTACTTGTACACCACAGATGTCCAACGACAAGTCATCGCCATTCTCTCAGCACTAGGCATCACCAGCAGTTACCCAACTGTTGCCGGAAGCAGCAAGAGCCTGGGCTGTATCTCCGCCATACCAGGTACTGAAGACCAAGATGAAGACTCATCCGACTCAGACTACGTGCCCTCCACCCCGGTCTCGGAAGCCTCAGTGGCATCCGGGACCGAGACAGACTGCTCAGAGGCCGATATTGATGAATGCGATGGCCTGTCCATGATCTCGCACAGTGACGAGCCGAGTGATGATGAAGGCGACTTACCACGGCGTCCCGCACCACCCATTCTCTCGCCTGGCAGCCAAGAGCCTCCCTCCTCCATGTTAGTTGATGCAGCTGTTGAGGAGGCAGGAAATACGCCGCTGGAGGCTGGAACCACAATGGTTGAGGATTGTGGTGGTACGCAGGACGGACGGAGGGTGCAGCCCATGCATTCTCCCAGTGTCGAACGCGAAATTTCGCTAAGTCCAACGCACCCACGGTCCTTTTTGGGACGCCCCCCAAAAAGGCTGACCAGTTTGACCAGCCCGTCGGTAAACCGACGCTTGCAGCGGGCACCGATCGGCTAGATGATTGAGCCTAAGTGGCAGCAGGGATGGGAGTGCGCTGCTTGCGCTTATGTAACAGTTTTCTCACACACCTCATTCCTTGTCTGTTTCTTATGATTTAAACTATGCCAAGTACGTCTTTGAAGTGGCTTTCGGATGGTATATGTTATGTAAGCGTATTCCCAGTCCCAGTGCTATAACCCAGTCAACAATGCTAAGCAGTAGTTGCTTCAGTATAGCAGCTGCAATGCACAATACATAACATAACATATACTGTCTTGTAGCCCTTCAAAGAGGTGTTCTAATACACCTACATATATAGTAATTGGCTCAGAAACAAGCCTATAATCAGCCGTATAAAGTACATATAGTGCTGCAGCAGTGTTACTCAAACCATTCCATCGTATCTGCTTACAGAATCACGTGACATAAACTATTAGATCCCTCTCATCAATGCGCATCAAACACACTCAAGAGCATCCAAAACCGACATCATCTGAGCTCATACAAACAGTTACAACATATGAACCATATGTCATAGACCTTGTAGTCCTTTTAGCACTGCATTGATATGAGCGCTCTGTTCACATCTACACTGGCTACTATGTGGACTAGGTTCACTCTAATAACTTGTGGAAGCCTCACTTTTCTGAAAGTAGCCCTTCAAAAATTGAATCAATTCCGATAAATCTTGAGTATATTTATAGTAGTAGTCCACATAGACTCTGACTGGAGCCCCTAAGGAGCGCCCATCTCAGTCTAGTTGAATAGGTGTAGACACTAACAGGCACTACAAAGTGTAGAAAGGAGTGAAGCGCTGAGCCCAGGTGGCAGTGCAAACCCAGCGCTAGTGGAACCCTACAGGGGGACCCTTGATGAACTCTGAGTAAGGCAGGGACCGACTGTAAGCACACATGAAGAGGAATGATCCTCAGTTAGTGATAGAACAACTATATTGAGAGCATAAGTACCTGTAGCACACACGAAGAGGAGCGACTACAGATAGAGTAAGCATATGTGTAAGGAGCGCATAAGAGTGTAGGTACTTACTCCTCAGTCAGTGATAGAACAACTGAAGAGCAGTGCGAGCCAGAGTCCTCCTTATATCTATCTCAGGAGCTACATACGTAAGTGAATGATGGAGGACATAGATGGCGCAGAGAACAGACCGGACAGAAGATGGATACGAGGCTGTATGGGCTGTGCGCTCAAGACAAAAGAGAGTCCGAAAGTAGAACAAGGGAAAAAGAGAGAAGCATATAAGAACGTAATAGAAGAGAGAAGGGACTACAAGGCAGTGAATAGACATGTGGAACTACAGATGGAAAGTTCATAATGCATAAGTTCCTTATGCATAAATGCTGATTATGCATACATCGGGTCTCAAACCGCATATGTCACCCGCCATTTATGCATAGATGCTAGTAGTGCATAATGCATATGCCCATGTGTAGATTTTGCATATTATCCAGGATGGTCGGAGCTGCAGACCAACAGGCAGACACCGCCATGTGTGACCTATGGAGTGTGCATAGTGCCAGCGCTTTGCACCCTCACTCAGAACAATGAACACTCTCTATCCAGTTATGAAAACGTTGTGCTGGGCTCTACTCTCCACACTGTCTCGTGTCCGCCATGTCTAGCCCTGCCGACTCTGAGCTCAAGAAACGAAAACCACGCAACGTGCCAAAACCGTACCCACGGACGAAACCAAAGAAGACTGAAAATGCGCCCAAAACGTCAGCTCAGACACGGACGTCTGGCCATCAAAACCTCACACAGAACAACTGGCTCGGGGTCATTTCCTGGCATGATGAGCACACACGCAAGCAGATCAACACTGTTCAACACTTTGCCGGCCTTCCAAACCCTCTCCTCTTCGACCAGGCCTCACTCTCACATCATCTCACCCTGGAATGGCAGGAGAAGCACCTCAAAATCGCGAACAGCATTCCAAATGGTCTCTCATCAAAACGCGAGCTTATTGTCATGCGTCCCGACGTCGATAAAGCACTGTACCTTTGGGTCCGACACATGGAAGACGAATGAGGGGAGCTTGTTAGCTCCCAGATGCTGCTCACGAAGCGGGGCCAGCTTGAGGAGCTGATGGGTATCCCTTTGCAGGAGTGGTTGACAAGAGATGGTTGGATACAAGGGTTCTGTAAACGGTGAGCACTTCTTTAGCACTCTTTGTGGCACCTGCAGTTCGGGATTGTTGAAGCGGTGGGTTAGTCACGGTCTTGGTGAACAGCGACGCCATAGAGAGGCCAGATCTGTCAATTTGGAGGCTGTGAAGAAAGAGGGTGGACGCCTTGTTGCAGTTCTTGCACCTTACGCTAAACGAGACCACTTCAACATGGACGAGATGGGATTGTATGGAAGGTGAGCAAGCCATTTGTTTCTGCGGCTTGAAAGTGCACTTGTTCAACATTGTGGCATGACAGCAATCTCCCGAGAGGGGCATGGCAACGAAGGCGATGCCAGGCAAGAAGTACAACAAGAAACGGCTCACCATCGCATTCGCTGTCAATGCCGATGGTAGCAAAAAGCTGGAGCCATTCTTCATCGGGAAGCCCAAGATGCCTCAGTGCTGCAGTGGGATCTCGCTCGAAAGGCGTGGCTTTGACTATGATAACAACACGAAGGCATGGATGACCGCAGTGCTCTTTGAAGGGTATGTGAGCCGTCTTCCAGTACACTGCCTGTTAACCTGACGTTGCATCTCTGACATCACACAGGTGGCTAAAAAGACAAGATCTACATTTCCAACGCCAGCGTCGGCACGTCATCTTCCTGCTTGACAATTTCTCTGGCCATTACGTCTCATACAACCCTACAAACATCAAAGTCGGGTTCCTTGAGCCCAATATGACGTCGTTTGTACAACCTCTGGATGGCGGCATCATATGATGTTTCAAAGCACACTACAGGCGCAAACTTTGCCTTCGAGCCGTCGAACTCGACGACGCCAACCCCAATACGGTCCAAGACCTCTTCAAGGTCAACCAGCTAGAGGTCATGACACTTGCAAAAGAAGCATGGAGTAAAGTCACCGCTCAAACCATTGCCGCATGCTGGGAGCACACCATTCGGACTGAAGGGTTCATCTTCCGACACTGTTTTGCTTCCCGCTGCCTGTGTAACTTACATCTCCCACAGTGCCCAGCCCCCAGTCACTCCTTCAGCTGATGTGGCAGCTTCAGCCATGTCAACAGCATCCCAGACTCCGACTCATCATTGTGGGGCTTGGGCCGCAATCAGAGCTTATGTAAGCACGGAGTCAATCACCTTTTCCCAGGTCGAAGACACTCTCCGCAAGATCGTTGGAGAAGCACTGTACAAGTTTGATGACTGGCGGGATGTATTCCATGCTATCGACTGCGCAGAGGGCGACATCGCCGTTGCACTCACAGCCATTACAGAGCATGAGTCAAAGTGTTTCGCCTCCCAAGCAGTCAGCCTCGCAGCATCGTCATCAGCCTCTATCAACTCTGGTCCTCCATCAACAAGGTCTTGCACACCGCTTCTCAAGCTCACCCATTCAGAAGGTGTGCTAGCTGACATCTTGTCCGAGCTTCATCGACGTCGTCACATCCGGCACTTGCCAACTATCGACGACGTCATCAACCCCCAGTCCGAGTGCATCATTGGCGAGTCTGGGTTCCCATTTCCAGGGGGAGACATGGAGATCATCAGTGAGGCTCGTCGCATGGTTGGGATGGAACCGCCCACTCTGATAGACGTCGAGTCCAACGATGAGGAGCCAACTCGTCCCTAGGTCTCTGCCCACGAAGCCTTCGAGCTTGTTGAGAAGCTGGAGAACATCTGTATGGACATTCCGATTCCAGATTCCCACTGTCTCATTTCTCTACAGTGGGACCTTCGTCGTCTCCACGGGGCTCTCCAGTACAAAGCTACGCAGAGTATGCGCCAACCCACACTGCGGGCGTGCTGGAAGTCGACTAGCGCCTTGTCATAATTTTAACGCCTGTAGTACCTTACGTGATCGCGCGCTAATATACGTACTCTTGTTGTGCATACGAGTTCATAGTGCATACCCAAAAGTCTTGACAAACCGTATGCATTATGAACTTTCCATCTGTATGGGAACTATCTCACAATATCCATGTGTACATAGAACTGTCTGTATGTACCTATGTTCAATATCCAATGTTCAACACACCCCTTCGTTCAAGACGCAGATGAAACTAAACCAACGTGCTTGCAGAAGTACTTGAGTATTGAAAGAGGAACTGACTTCGTCAGCGAGTCCGCAAGCTGCTCCACAGAAGGAACGTGAAAGAGAGTAACTTCGCCTTCCTTGATGTATTCGCGAATGAAGTGGTAGCGGATGTCGATGTGCTTCATGCGACGGTTAACAGCAGGGTTTTCAGAGAGGAAAATCGATCCCTGGTTGTTCATACAGAGCGGCGTAGGACTCGACATATCGTCACCAACTTCACAGCCAAAAGTGCGAAGCCACCTCATCTGACGGTAAGCGTCTGACGCTGACATGTATTCCCCTTCAGTGGAAGAGAGGGATACTGTGCGTTGTTGGCGAGAGACCCAGGAGAGTGCACCTCCTGCTATCAGGAAAACGAAGCCGGTTGTCGACTTCTTATCATCGCGGTCTTCACCCCAGTCCAAGTCTGAGTACGCAATCATGCTGGCGCCATCCTTTCCATCGTAACAAAGACGATAGTGTGAGGTACCACAGAGATAGCGAAGGATGTAGCGGGCGTAACGCATGTGATCTTCAGACGGATTGGCATTGTACTTGGAGAGACACGTGACGGCATAGGAGATGTCTGGACGAGTACCGAGCATGGCGTAAAGAAGGCTGCCAATGAGGCTCTGATACTCCTGACGAAGAGTTGCAGGTGCTTCATCCTGTCGAGCGACTGGGACGCAACCAGTGGAGAGAGGAGTGGATACAGCATTGCAGTCAGACATGTTGAACTTTCGAGGACGGCGTCGATGTACTCTTCCTGGTCGATGTCGAGGATGTGTTTGACGTGATCACAATGAATGCGAGTACCGAGGAATTGTTGCACTGGTCCTAGATCAGTCATCTTGTACTGCTTGCTGAGTGAGTCCTTGACAAAGTTGATGCGCGTGCATGAATTGCCCATAATGAGTAGATCGTCGACATACAGAACAATCAGTGTGACTTCGCCTGGAACACCCCCTTGTCGACGATAAACGTAGACTCCGGCATCTGAGTACATGCAGAAAAATCCCAATTTGAAGGGCGAGTTGTGGATTTTGAGGTTCCACTGGCGAGAGGCTTGCTTCAGACCATAGATGGCCTTCTTGAGCAGACAGACGTAGTCCTTTTTGCCAGCTTCAACCCATCCTTCCGGCTGCTCCATATAGGTCTCCTCATCGAGATCGCCATTGAGGAATGCAGTTTTGACATCCATGGCGTCGATATCCCAGTCTTTGAGCACGGCGTGCGCAAATGCGAAGCAGGTCGACTTGTTCCTTGATACAGGTGAAAAAATCTCGAAGTAATCTTCTCCCCAGTTCTGCGTATAGCCCTTAGCTACGAGACGAGCCTTGACTCAACCATTGTGCTTGTACACCCAACAACATCCGATGACGTTACGACCCTTGGGGCAAGGTACGAGCACCCAGGTTCGATTTTCCATCAACGAATTGTACTCCGAAGCTTCAGCCTTGAACCACTCATCACTCATAAGAGAGTTGTGCGCTTCGCGATAGGACTGAGGGATGCCTTTCTTGCGCGCAGCCTGGTTAATGATGGTATTGAGCAGATCAAAGTACTCGCACTTTTCAGCTGTACGTAGCTGTCTGTCTCATCGTGTCCTGGCGTCGACACGTGCAGGCGCTTCGTCACCATAGAAGTTGTCCCTGTTATGACGCGGATTCTGTCCAGCACCATGATGCTGAGGGTGTGGAGGAGGTTGTGGTGGGGGACCAGCATCAATGTCAGGAACTTCTTCGACAGTAGGATGACAATTACGACAGTGGTTAGAAGCACGTGGCGGTGCACCTGGTACGACAGGAGGCAGAGGTGGAGCTTCGTGCTTTGGTTCAGGCTCAGCATTGGGTGGAGCTTGAGGAGGGTGTGGGACCATAGCAGGTTCTGGAGGAGGGGTTGGAGGAGGAGGTATGAGCTTGACTGGTTCATTGTCAGGCTCTCCCTCAGGGATGTCCAGAAATGGTGAATCATCGGAGGTTACACAACGACGGCCGGTGAGGTTTTCACGTGTAGGGAAGACATTCTCATCAAAGTCCACATCACTAGAGACCATGATGGATCGGGTAGAGCGGTTCCAGAAACGATAACCCTTGGAACCCTTGTAACCAACAAACACAACTTCGAGTGCCTTAGGCTCGAGTTTGTTGTCGTGTTTGTCCCTTTGCACATGTACGACTGCTTTGCAGCCAAAAAACGCGGAAGTGGGAACAGTCTGGGATGACTCCATTCCATGCCGTGATCGGGCACATCCATTTTAGACGACACATTGGCTGACGGTTGTAGATATGCACTGCAGTGTCGACCACACATTGCCAAAACCGTGAGACAGACCTGCAAAGTGAAGCATACACAGGGCCTTGTCCATGATGGTTCGGTTCCAGCGTTCGGCATGACCATTTTGCTGTGGTGTTCCTGGCATGGTCATGTCGTGCTCAATCCCAAGTTCGCAAAGAAGTTCTTGGAACCCTGTTGCGGTATATTCACCCCCTCAATTGGATTGTACCTTCTTGATTTTGCGACCAGTCTATGTCGATACCCAGGCGTAGTACTCTCGGAAAGCTTTCGTCTGTTCCAATTTCGCCTTAAGGTAGTAGATACAACCAGCACCAGAGAAGTCATCAAGGTATGTTACAAAGTACGTATATCCACCGATAGAAGTGGGCAGTGGGCCGACTAGATCAGTGTGGATCATGTCGCCTGGAGCTTCTGCATGCTTCGGTAATAGAGGGTGTGGTTTGCGCGTCATTTTGCCTTTGGTGCAACTATCACAAACAGTAGAGGGTCGTCAACACCTTTGACTGCCTTAGAGAGCTTTTTGATCACT